TGTTTCAAGTCCTTGACTGTCATGTCGTGATCATTCAAGGAGGACTCCATTGTCGGAGGAACGTGTCTTAACACGAATACTTTGTAGAGGTTCATCGTAAGATGCATAAGTGTCCATTTGATGTCAGTTTTTCTCATGCTTTGTTATAGGTATCACTGAAAAGCTTAGTGAGTTTAATTACGGGCTTCCTACGTCCACCTTCCAACTCCATCGTCAAACCCTGATTACTACATGATATCATAGAGGTCGTCAAGGCAAAAAATATAAATGTTAGATAATAGTTTTCATACTTTAATATGTCTGTACTCTTCTTTTTGGAATTGATTCCATTTGATGCTATCATGCTATTTCGTCCGTGCCACAAATAAAGAAGATTTATGTAAAACAAAGATCATATTTTTTATTAGTTCTATGTAGAAACCTCTATTTTAGGACAATATGGTCATATGGTAGGTTAGGTACGTAACGCCCAACCACAAGATGTTATGAACTGTTATTCTTTTAAATTCAAATAACAACAATTGTCTTGCAAAAAAGGGTCAGTTTCATAAAATACGTTTGAACACTGGACAACCGACTAATTGCCGAATAAATTCAAAAATTGAATATAATTCGCATGAAATTAACTGGCAATACAAATAACGGTAACTCTTCTGGAAATTTAGGTGCCGGATATTTTGTAACTAAAAAAATCACTACATCATCACTACTTTGGGCTTTTTTAAAGGGGGAAAATCATCGAATTACTGCTCCCGCCTGGGTGAGGCGGGAGGGAGTGTCAGACTCTTACTGACTAAAAACCACCCCGTTCTACTCCTTGGTATAGCCCCTGCAACCCGTTCAGTCCTCCGCGGCTCCAACTATTCTGGACTGCGAAACGTAAATAGCCAAAGTTACATTGTACTTACAATATTTGACATTGTTAAAACAAAGACAAATTGTTATCACGCAAAGGTTGGCGTTATACCAATCGTTAGCGAGCTTCATTAATTAATTAACATTAATGAGTATTTGGGCAGTTAACCATTTTCCGAGCACCTATCTACTCTGACACAGCTAAAATTTGAACAAAATTCATACAACCTCATTCTGGTTATTCCAACCTGCATTTAATATTTAGGTATCTCTTTAGCGACGGACTGACTTTTGAGATCGTCTTCAAGTTGTAAGACTACTATAAATAATGTAGCAGCTTCTTACTCCATTAAATACGTTTTATTTATCTAAAAACCCAATATTTTAGTTTTTATCCTATTGTATACGGGCCGGGCCGTAATTAGTTCATTGTCTTTGCACAGATATTTCAGATTTACATTTCCGCTTCGCATTTTAAATAAATATGGTTACAGAAGCTGACCGTGAATAAACAATTCTATTTTATTTCTTAAAAAGTTACATTGTGTCGTACGTTGGTTATGCGGTATATGGTACCTGCAGTAAGGTACACAGGTCTCCCTGCTCAAAATTCGGCAACAACCGATTTAGGCATGCTCGTTCGATTTGATATACCTAGCCAAGGATCTAGATAGGTAGTTGCGTAAGCTTTTCTTAAAAGGTTACATCAAGCAATGACTAATCCTCTGAAGCCAAATCAAGTGTGCAGAGGTTTAAGCTCATATTTAAACATGTTGTACCCATTAAAAACCATTTTACACACGTCTTTACCGCATTGGGGATCTGCATTCTGCAGAAATTAAAGAGCGCCATCTACACTTCCCACCTGTCCAGACTTTTATTCTTCATTAGCTTTCATCACCATCAGATGTACCTTTACTTATGGGTACCTATTTAAGCAAGCTGATTTAAAAGTACCCTTCATTTGACCTTTTTCTAAAGTCTCTTCAATGAGATCAGCGATATATACTGTACTGCCTATCCTTATCAGGTTCTTCCTCAAATTCATTAATCTTGAATCTTGTGCCATTTTGAACTTACCCTTACGCCTCTAGGCCGCCTTCTCTCCTTAGCGCTTTTGAAGTCAGCCTCAGCTTAGTGACTATTCTCGAAGTCAATGCGTAGAAGGTTGTTATTATTTTTTAAAACCATAGTAAAGTATTCATTTTTTATTGTTTCAGGTACTGAAATCATTTAACGGGATCTGCTCAGTTCGGATCGAAAGATATCGCTTGTAAAGAGAAACCAGATTTGGTAAGCCATTGTATTCTAGTATGCTCTATCTATGCATACATGTTTGCACGTACAAAAGTGCAACTTCATTGAGTAAATTAAATACATAGTTAATTGAACAAACTGGGCATCCAGCCAACCAGTGCAAAGATCTTGGACTCAAATAGACAAAAGAAAAATACCATAATACTAATTTCGAGAATTATTTTATGGAATCAAGGCCATTAGCAAAGACAGATTATCCGAAAAAGAAAGCTTTGTTTAAATTAATATATAGGCTACTATTTTGGGAACTCCGATGGTAACGTACCCACTTAAAAATAATTATCTGTACATGACATAGGAACTTAATAGATTAGGTTATATAGAACAAAAATTCTGCAGCAAGTGTTCATAAAAACAGAACATATTGATTCTTAAGTAGCATTATTATTGAGACCCGTGATAATAAATTGTGATTTAATCTTATCTCAAACACTAGAACATGATTATAGAGATATCGATAAATCCCAAGATATCAGAGCACATACCTAGTGTTGAGCCGCAGTGTACAGCGACGTAAGTAAAAAGAAAATACACATGTGTACTCAAAATCATGAATAGTAAATCATAGAACAGGCGCCAACGAGATGATGTATACACTATATTTAGATAATTATATAAAATCATGCGTGCGTAATTATTGCTTGACCTTGGCAAAGGCAAGATGTGGAACAATAGTGATGTGAGCTCATTGGTGCATGTCCGCTGCATGTCGTAATGGCTAAATTGAAATATCAACTGCTTTTTATTTAGAGTTGACAACCAGTTAATTTATAGCCAAAGTCCACTTCTCGGCGTTTCTATACCCTCATACTTCGTTGATATATAGGTAGTATACGAGGAAAAAACATTATTTAAAACACAAAATGACTAATCAGAGCTTGTGTTTATCCCAAAGAAATACGCCTCATGAGATTTCTAAAATGAGGTTTACTATAAGATTCGATGTATTTATCTGCAGTTATAAAAATAGATTGGGACTAGGCAGAGCTTACGTAGGCACCTACGAACGTACCACGCGAATCTCCTCGCTCATTCAAGATCAAGGTTGGAATCTATGAAACGCACGGAATAGTTTTATGATCAATTAAAGTCAAGTTGCGACGCATTTGACAGCCACTGAGCAATACATATAATATCAATACGTTTTAATAAGTTTTAATAACGTCCTCTGCTCGTGATGCCATTCGAAGTTGTTGAGTACTAGATATAGACAAAATATTGTGTCTGAATTCATTCTTCGATATGTATAAAGGTATTTAGATAATATGCTTTACGTTTAGGTTTACTAGTATAATTTTTAAATGAGGATATATGACATCCCAAAACTTTCCAAAAACGAGGTTTCTTAACATCGGATACAATGTACCTCTATAGGTTAAACGAATCCTTAGATATTTTAGATCTGAAACTAAAAGACGTAAATAAAACATAATGTATAAATTTTATTACAACACGATATCTTCTGATAGATAGGAATGAAAAAATGCCATCAAGGTCAGAATATTTAATGCGAAACAAATGTGTCTGTTTACGTCATCGTTGCATAAAACATAAACATAAATGTCGTAGGTAGATTTCTTTATTGGTAAATGAGAATGCCACTTATATTATCAGTGGACCAGTAGACATGTTCAGGAGTTGGATGTAGCTGAACTACAGAAATTTCCTCGAAGATCGTATTGCTGATATGGTCTTAAGTAAAAACGGCTTTGATACTAGCTTTAATACTCGATAATAAAAATAAATGAGATTTAGGCCTTTGTCCAGGACGCATCATTTGACGAATGCATGCATTCATTAGTGCTATAAAGCATTGTAGTGTTTTAGGTTTCATAAGACACTACAGAGGCGGAGGTCAAGTTATAGGGCCGCGTTGTGCAGTAATAAAGACTGACGGCTTCCAGTCTATATCTAAATATCTAGAATGAGAACTTGACCTACCTAGCTACTAGCTACTAGTCGACAGTTCGTTAGAGACCGTTGAGTATCCCCGCGATTGACTGACTGTTTGTTCGCAGTGCAGCCACTACGACATTACGAAATCATTTGTTATTTACAATCTACGAAAAAGGAGAAATATAATTTGATTCTGTGCATCTAATCGTTGTTAAGTACCTATACTATGTAAATGTGAACGTTATAATTAATATAACTATATGTTACACGTAGGACTCTTCTACACAGCTTACCTACAAAAAGGTTAAGGTGTTCTGCCCAATCTTTAATTGTTGTGTCAATAAATTCTTATAAAACAATACCTACCGAATGATCTCCCAAACAGCCTTATTATCATAACATTAATGTTTCAGATCTCTTCAGTGTTGAGGAACAAGGCTGTGAGTGGCAAAATAATAAGACTTTGAAAGCTATTTTGTAAACATGAACGGCTGTATTATGATACACGTTTGAGACTGACACGTGAACAAAATACGGCGGAAGAGTTCATGTGGTTAAAGCAAACACACTAGGCAGCGATGCTGTCGTACATGGTGCCGGTAGAAGAGAAGCCTCCACCAGTGCCTGGCAAGGGGAGGCTGGCTCTGGAGCTGGTGGGCAGTCCCGGCAGCCCCGAGTCGAGCGCGCGCCGAGCTCGCTCCACCATAACCAACATCTCCAAAGAATCCTCCACTAGTTCCTTCGCCAGTGATCTCACTCTATCGTCGTCCACACCCACGGGCGCACACGACAAACCAAAGCACAAGCTACTTGGAAATGGAACCAAACACACAACTTTAAAGAGGTAAGCCGTTTCAATTTACTTAATCAGGATTAAATCAGGAGATCAACGCTGTAGAAAAATGTTTCGATATGTATTTTCATAATATAATATTTATTGAGGTATCAGTTATAAATGTGTTGTAAGATACTTATTACAACTTGTGTTTTGGTATGGTAATAGCGAATATAATTGATTAGAAAAACAACGGAACCTAATCTATAATCGTTGCGTAAAATTGGAGCGCGGAAGTGGAATTACTGGATGGATAGTCATGGGAACATGAATTTCTGGAGTGTAATCAAAATTAAATATCCCTTTAATTAAGGTATAAGTACAAATTAACTTTCTCTTCGTATTTATTTATTTTGTTTTAAAATATAGGCGCGGGAATCCAAGTTATGAAAGGTATACTCTACCTTTAGGTAGGTTATACGATATGTAAATATTATGGAGAAAATGTAAGTACGTACGATGTAATAAACATTCAGGCAAGAGCAATGCACTAATCAAAGGGAATTTATTTTCGGCGATCGTTTCAAATGATACGGCTGATAAAATTAAATACAAGTATCACGTAAGTGATTTATATTTGAATACAAAATTGTAAGAACGTTTTACATCTAAATATTAACATATAAAGTTTTATTGCGGGACCGCGTTTGTTTATCAGATTTAAACGCGAACCACTGGGGCATACGCTAATCATGTAAATGTTGTGATTTTTAATTGCTTTGCCAATTATCCACTGGAGTCAATTACGTGGTGTGAATTGCTACAAATGACTTGTAAGGTATGTTCACAATGAGCCACGAACGCATTCTTCATAAAATTATTGAAATAAAACCATGCACTTTGAATTAACTGCACATAGCTATGTATGTATTGTATGTATGTATATAATTTACTAAGAAATGCATTGATTTTATTTACTTACATGCAGACTTTAATTAATTATTATTATCGTATAATAATGAAAAGTATGTTTATTGTTTCTTTTTACCCATGTAGTGTGGATTGTCCCAGGCGTCAGGTAGTTTTATAGGTGGTTTGGATAACCACGATGTGTAAATTTCTATTCGACAATCGGGCCTGTGAAAGAAATATTCAATGTAAAAGAATTGTATAGGCTTGAATAAAAAGTATCTAGGTACATATACATAATAACAGTTCTAGGTGGTGGGCTATCTCATCTGGCGCTACGCCGAGGACGATGTCACTTGCACAGTTTGTCCTCCACAAACGCCTTTTAAAGTGGCTGTATATGTAGAGAATAGGCGCCCACTTGTACACGCGGCCGACAGCTGATTATTTTCACGGCGGCCTTTCACGGAGATTGCAAGCGTGCCTTCCACCGAGCTCTATACATGACGTGCATGACACTCTGAAAGGCGCTTCCCGTCCTTTTGCAGTGGTTTCAATTAAAAAGTGAATTAGATCTGGGACTTTAAAGCGAACAGCCTCAATTGATGTTTGATGCAACTCTCTTTTGTTGTGGGTTTTTACATTTGGTTTTTTTAATGAGTTTATTTGACATTTGGAATGGAAAATAACCACACAAACAGATGAATTGTGTGAGAGGAGAGAATGTGATGTAGTGTGTGTGGAGAAGTAATAGTTGATTCTACTACTGAGACAGCAAAGGTTTGCACGAATACGAGAAGAGAATTGTCTCTTTAACTTAAGTAGGAGAATCAGGTTTATCAACCGACCTAGACGCGAGCCATCCTATTACTCCTGTGGAAGTTTGAGGTACTGGTTTCAGTGATTTCCCTTCTTCTGTCTTTACTGTTACTTGAGACCGAGTTACAGATGATGCTTTTTGCCGAATAGCTTCAGCTTCAGCCAATGCTTGCCTAGACGTGGAATGAAGAAGAATTTATTAATATATCGTATATCAACATTTGTATGTATGTATTGTACACATATTTATTTATTTTATTATTTGTTTATTTATTTATTTATCACCACACTTACATCTACCGTTACAGGTTTAACCTAATGTGACAGAGGAGCTACTTTCATTAAACAAAACATGCAAACAAAGTTAATAATAGCAATATCCTAATATAGACAAAACTATTAATAATAAGTTATATCGAACATTCAATCACGTTTAGATACTGATAGATATTTCTACGAATCTATCATAATAATAAGAGAGAACAACACTTGTCTAATTACCTACGGTATAAATAAACCTTAATGTAGTTTATCTATAAATTAAATAATGTAGATCAAGTTTGTCCAGTATGGGTATAGTCCTCTGGTCACCATAAGTTCGCAAAGTATGGTACAATAGATAGACATTTTATAAAGACAATTTGTCCATTTTCCAAGGTTAGGTATCAAAAGCGATCGATAGCTGCTAGAAGTAAGTTCATAACAGTTATCTACCTAAGTATAGACCCATGTCCGATACCGACACGAGCCATAAATACGTATTATATTGATTACGTAAACTATTATATCACAGCCACCGCTTACAGTCCATGTTACTCTGTTCAAATGTAAGGTGGTGCTATAATAGTCTAAAAGCCATCTATGTACGTCATTTATATTCTTCTGATATCTGTCTTATAATTATAAAGACAGTAGCACTATAGCACAGTTAATTATTATGTTTCGGCTTAGATACTCGCTAACTGTTTGACGAGGAACTCAACTAGTTTCAAGCCATGATAAAGCCTCATATTCATGAGCAGCATGAAACTAGTCGAGTGAGAGTGAGTAAGCCGCCAATATAATAATAGTTTTAATATAAACTAAATACGTTAGGCATTGTCAGATGCCCCATGAACCCCAGCAATACATAAATAGATATATTTATTTACTGGAGCTTTCTAGAAACTCAACAATAATATCTACTGAAAGGTTAACATTTTGTAAAGTATTCAAATAGTCTTTTTTATAATAATTTCGTGTATTAGAGCACCGTTTGTGAACTGGGAACGGTCGTGTTCGACATTGGTTTCGCATGAAACTCCAGCGCTCACGATAAATTTGATCTCCGTGGCGAATTCTGTCGCTTTGATGTAGTATTGACGGCAGAAGCCGTGTTGCTGCACTGACAGGCGACAGTATTTGTAGACCAGCTAATTTAGAAGCCAACACTGAACGTTATTTACTACCCATTAATTAAATCTGGCAAATACTGAGTTTCAGACATATAACTCTATTTACGAGCACAACAAGTTTACTTATTTATGTGACATACTATATGTTGGAATTTAACGTACCTATTTATATAAATTATAAACATGCATCACAATTCACAACCAGTAGCTCTACCTTTGACATTTTTTATTGCCAACTGAGATCAAGGAACTCTCACAATCTTAAATGAAGATAAAATATTTCTAGGTACAAACGTGCACAAAAAACAATTTCTTAGAAAAATACGAGCTAAGATAACTTGAATGTTTTTTGCGCTTTTGATGACTTTGATCAAAATACGAATGCAGCATCAATGAGCTGAAAGTAAAGTAGATAGGTAGGTAGATATATCAGAACAACAACATTTCAATTCTCAGATACCTATAAATAATAACCAAACCGATTTATAAATTAAAGAATTTCAAAATATCTGGGCTGTGATAACAAAGTTAGTTTTAATTTAGTAGCGTGCCCATTTATTGATTTATTTGTCTTACGCTCACCGCTTTCGTCATAAGCGTTCATGAGCACAAACTGAATTAGGATTAAACATTATCACCGCGTTGCACAGCGTCGAAAGCTTTAAGCCAACTTGAATTCTTCAACAAAGAGCTCGCCTAAATGCGCCGTTTGGCACATTTTGCGGAATAGCATGCTAGATACAATAAACATAGTAGATATGTTGGTGGTTGGTAGGTATGTTGGTACCTACAATATTAGTTTGCTCACGAAGGTGCAGCATAGATTAGCTCAGGATTGAATTATTGTGATTGTGGAGGAAAGCAAGCAGACGTTCATTCCCAAGCAATTACTACGAAAACTAATATTATATAGCTTTACGAGATTGCTTGCTTTTGCTGCAGGTCATAAAACCAATTATATAAGACTTTTCTTTTTGTAGCTTATTTATCGCTGACTGCGTAGGTATGTAATATACTTTGTGTATTAGTACTAGCTCACAACACAATATGACCTTTAGGAGTAGCGCAATTATTATAAAAAATGTAAGAGAGAAAGTATAAAAAATTCCCACGGGAACGTCAGAAAAAATCACGAACAATGTCACGGGCAAAGCGCTCGAATTACGCAAAGCGTTGAAATGGAATACGTTGATACCTGTTCCTTTACAGCAACATGCACTCGGAGATATTAAAAAGGTTTAATTACTATCTCCAACTTACTTTGATCATGTTGAAACGGCGAAAAGTTGGTCGGAACTTAGGAAACTACTTACTTTAACTGCAACATAGCACTTAGAGTGGCTGCGTTCTGTTCAGACAATGTAATTGAGTGACCTACCTACGTAGCAACATCTAGTTTACAGGCATTAATTATTGTAGACATCATATTTTACACAATATTATGTCATCTTATGTATCTTCAAGTGGTTGTTTCAAATACTTAATACTTACCTACAGAGTTATGACTGTTGAGATTGACAAAATATTTGGTATTTTTAAAGCGAGAATTTGAGGCTTGTATGTATACTGTATTTATAGTATATCTATTAACGATAAAAAGTTACATGATTGCTTACTGTCTTTCGTCGAGCAACCAACTCCATCTTTCAAACCACTGTTGTCTGCAGTTTTCCTGTTTCTTCCACTGTGCTCGCATTTGGAACGCTTCCGTGTTTGGGTCATACTTAACAGCTTTATGTTCAGTCCCCATTGTTCACCTATAAAGATAGTTGTCGAAACTATTAAACGAGGTTCTATCTATAAAAGGAAAAGAACATGATCTCACTGCAGAAGCAAAACAAGGTAGTAATCTGAGTGAGTCGGGCACGATGCCAACACTACGTCTTTGTTCAAGTGATGACGTTTAATTCCATTGGTAAATGTAAAATAAGGCATGAGAGCACTAGAGTAAACGGCAAGCAAAACAGGACTATCAACAGACATTGATGTTTAGAGAATCTTATCCATAGGCATTCATCTATCGTAGGTAGAGCAGTCGTGTAGGACACCACTCTCGAGTAAATTGCACTCGAGGATAATGTAGCGATTATTTGTTTGATGCTATGAACTAATCACAAATTCACCACCGTTTACTGAAATACCTACTTAGTGTAACATTTCCTTTATTCTTTCCGATATATCTTATTTAAGAAGTAGTTTCCGAACGGTGTATAACCAACACCAGTACTGACATACTTTACATTGATGTACCGATCAACTGTAATCTAATAAATGTTCAATTAAGAGTATGCAGATAAGGCAATGGAATAAACGATTTGGAATTAGATAAGAATAATTGTTTAACAGGTATGTTTTCATTGTAACTGGTGCTGATTAATTGGTCGATTCATTAGTTTATTTATATCGGAGTGTAGGCAGACATCAAGAGATTTATGGCTGTTAGGAAATACATTTAAAATGATCCAAGTGACTAGTACCCAGTCCTACAATTGTTGAGTACTTAACTGAGTCCTTCTCCTACAAAAAAAGCTTGATTTAAGAAACAATAACCTAGGCTTAGGTTTTAATTAGTATTTGTTCGACTAACCAGTCTTCGTCAGTTATTTATTGGGTACCTGAGAGCCCTTGAGAGAGAGTATCTTTTACTAGTATGATAAATGCGAAAGTTTGTGAGGATGAATGGATGTGTGAACGAATATCTTTCACGAAAAAACTAGGTACTGGACGGATTTGGACGTTGGTACAGAACGAATCCGGGCGAAGCCGCTGGCAGAAGCTAGTATTCGCATATCCCTTGAGGTAGGGTATGGGTATGTAGGGACTAAACTATAGGTGGGTACGTAGATAATATGTATGTGAGATCCGCCAAAACATTTAGGTACCTATCAGACTTCGCGTAGGTAAACCGCAAAAACACAAGAGTCACATAAGTTATCTAATTTTAAACAACTTTAAAGGTCAAACAATATTTAAAAAATAAAATTTAATACTTAATTGGGAATTTTTGCCTCGAACAAATCATACTGTTTCTTTTTTTATCGGAGGACTAGCTACTCTCGCGTGGACTCTCCCTCTGTTTGGTTCTTGTTGGTCATAGTTTGTAGCATGTTGTATGGGTTACAATTAGTCTTTCTCGATAAATGCACATTTTTTTTTAAATCGCTCTTGTGGTACTCTGCTGTTGGGTTTGGGCGTTCCACAAAGTCAAAGTCAAACCAACCAACAACCCCTTTTGAAACGTCAACAAATACAAAATATTGAAAAAAGGAGAACTGTTAAAAGAAGAGTGTTTTATGGAGGAGCAATTGTGGCTTCAACGGTTTTGCATACATTTTGTACTCCACACCATGTCTCCTTCTATATTACATCTATGGCGCGTTCAATCGACCAACCCATAGATATAATAAAGAAAGACCAACCAAACAAATTCAGCTTAGGCATATTATTGTTAGTACAGACTTCTCACTTCGAAGTAATAGAATAAGGCTGTCTTTCTTAGAGAATTTGGAGTCGGGACAGTAATATCTAAGTGCGAAAACATCTTCATGAATTAAACTAGCGTCTAAGTTTACAAGTGGAAGTATATCTATCTACCTACACGACTATGTATCATCTCTATTTTAGTTCTCAGGTCAGACAAAATGTTTTAGGTCAACAAATTGTCCACTAGGTACTTATAATACTAATTGGCTAGTTTCTCTCGTATATTATTTAGGTAACATATTATGTAATAATCTGATTTATTTACCCCTCTAGGCTCTACTGGGTTACGCGATCAAACGTGCTTATAGTTAGACTTGAAGTGGATTCCAGACATTGAAAACATTTTAACTATACGGAAGTTTAATTACTCCCTTCCCCAATCTCCGCAATCCTAGAACTAGACACGTCTTAACATTACAGATGACTTTTATTACTTCTAAACTAAAATGTTTCAATAGATTAGGCAATTGCATACATAAATGCAATGTAATAAAACTAGTATTATAAATCTACTTACATAATTGCATGCGAACTACGAAACTAAAGGAATGTTAAAGGCTAAAGGCTAGTGTCAGTTATATTTAAAGTAGGGCAGACTTCACTAAGAATGTTAAGTAGCACTGAGCTAAGCCGTGGATCCGGAAATATAGAACGTTGAACGTAAAAAAATACGTGACCATTGTGCTGCCTACCTACTTACCTACCAAAGGACTATTAGAAAGTTTTTATTTCAACCGATAATGAGTTACATTTTGTAACTAGAATAATTAGGTGTAGTAGGTACTCATCATATTTTTGAGGTTCACAACTCTTACAAGAAAGGTACCCGTACCTACTTATGTTACTATGTACTCTATGTAGTTTAAAATATGATACAAGTATGCAGTTAGTGTAATTCCCTATGTGTTTCTTATACTATGTGTACTAATCAATAAAATCCTATATTCTATAGTCCTATAACATTATTAAATGCTATTTAGGGTATATCAAACAAATCATTATGAAATATAATTTTATAGGATGCATGTGTATTGTGTAACCTACCTTCTGTTAGCTCTCTAGTTAAAATACAGAAATATCGTAGCTCACCGATAAACCGCAATTTGTAATCAAGTACTTAGGTATATTTAAAATAGAAAATAATAATTTTACAAAAATATTATGAGTATGCCTATTGCATAATATCTTTGCGTTGACACGACACTTCTATACTCGGAATTATAATTCGATTCCAGATTTGACAATTTCAGTGTTGCAACGTTATGACAAGTACTAAATAGTGACGTTGCGAAATTATTCGATATGGAAATGCAATATTTCTGAATCGATTCTTCTCGTTTATAATTTTACTCTCGTAAACTAAGGATATCAGGAAATTAAATATTTCTGACCGATAATTTAGTTTTGACGATTACTTAACGATCTGAGACTTTTCTTTTATAATTTGTGTGTGAAATAAATAAAAAAATGTTATCATGAAGGAACATGACAAATAAAACAGATAGATGTATTATGGTAATAAGTTATTTTATAAATTGTCGCCGTCATCGCTATCGCTATCGCTGTCACTTTCTGTAACATTTATTATAAAACACACACACGATTGTTAATCGATTTTTGTGTCCATCACTACACTATTATATGTGGTATCATTATTTCACAAAATGACAGTAGCTATTGTCAAATCTGGAATCTAATTAAAATTCTGACTATAAATATTTAGGGTATTAATGGGCTTGTCAACGTCACAACAATTATAATCGAGGAGAAAATCTGATAATTCAGGACATTAAAAGAAAGAGGTTTTAGTTCGCTTGCTCTTGTATTAAATTATGCAAAAAAGCTATAGCATATGTATAGCGCTGACCAGTTTATATGGCACTGCACATTCCAAGTGCTTACATAACTGTGGATTAAATTTTAGAGTTCAGTTGCGTACTTGCGCACCACGCGTTTACAATTTCGCAGTGTCGTTTATGAGGAACGACCTCTTTAACATTTTTTTCTTTGCCAAAATATAATAAACAATGTCACTGTCAAGGAAATGTCAGTTTGTGGCCGTCATATCTATGCAGTCAAATAGACACAGGAACATTGTGGTTGATGAAATATCTTATAGTTAATATCGGATTTTATCTCAATGTCGACCGATATCAGAGGCCATTGTATAGAGCAAGACAATTTCCTGAGTTCGATACGTCTAATACTTGATATGACTTTTACCGTAGGTACCTTGCAAGTTTATTCAATGCACTTCAAAAAATAAAGTTAAAGCTTGACCTGAAAAATCCTAAAAACAAGTATTATTGAATTTTGATAATATCACGGAAACTATAGGTCATTTCCCAACTTAAAACAGTCCACGTTTCATTAAAATCGGTTCTAGATACGGTTATCAGCCTACCTACTCATTTTGAGGGGAGACAGAGCATTTTACTCGTTTTACCATTGACAGGATTTTGAGAAGTTAGTTTTTGAAACTAATATTTTCGTCAGAGTAATCAATATATTGGATCGGAAATTAAAACCAATAATGTGTAAAAGTCGACGCGAATAACACGCGAAAAGTGTAATAATGTGATGAATTAGTCACGCACACGTGTGTGACGAGTAAGTAGGTAATTGGGAAAGTCACAGTCACAACAGATAATTTATAACTAGGTACTATAGTAAAAGTAAAATCGAAATATCTACATTGATATCGAAAGTTGTGTTATTCAATGTTTTAAATTGATAACGGCAGAGGCTACAAAAATTAAAATAGAAATACGGTATTTTATTTTGACTTTTTTCCATTTCATTATTAATGTTATTTCTTTTTTTTAGGGTGTCGTTTGGCAGTTCGAAGGGGTCGATGGTGGAGACCCTAATTTACGAGAGTCCCCTACAAGAGGAGCCGGAGAGCAGTCCGCCACCGAAAGTACAGGAGACATCGTTCCCCTACACACCCGTCGAAGACGAGTACGTTTTGTTCATTTGAGTATGTTAATTATTCATTTTTGTTCCGAAATTACGCGAACACTTCTTGGCGATTTTTTTTGCATTTACTTACCATGTATGAGCAGTATGAGGTACCTACTGTTTATACATTTTATAATATTGTAAACTCTATCTCAACAATACGATTTAGTTTCTGTACTTAATTGGATTTACAGTAAAAGCAAGTATGACGATGTATGTAGCTACTACCTAGGCAACGGAATCGCGATTGCTTAGGTAATAAAACAGGCATGTAGGCAGTCGGCGCTCTACCTCTACCTACTCTCGTACGCACTGGCTTGATAAATTCAAATGGGCATACGTTAATTAAGGACACCAATTGACCGAAATGCATGAACTTTGTAGGGGATTCGGTATCTACCTTTTACTTCTGATCAAATATTGTTTCATTATGATGCTGTAGGTATGATTGTTTTTCGGAACTTACTTCCAAGAGACACTCATTTGAAGGATACAAATAAAACAATTTATATCAATTATTATCTTGCTAGGCGGCACTTAATTGATAAAATTCGTTTGTGTCTATCTTCTCATCACACACAGCTGTAGTTCATAGAATTAACTCCCCCTTGTATTTTGCAATCAATAAGAAACATCGAGCAGAACGTCCCCCTTTTATTCTCTTTACGTAACGCTAACAAACGGCTAACTAGCTATCTATGTGAGAGCGATCTCTTTACCAGACGTTATCAGTGAAAGAGACTAGGGGATCTACTTTTTGTTAACTTGGACAGTTTCAGTGACTGACCATAGTATTTTAATCAGTCATTCTATTGGTGATTCCCACTTTAAACTAGTTTAAAGTAGACTTTTTACTGAAATCAAGTAGGTACCTAGGTACATGATTTGTCTTAGGTATAAAATACTTTGTACCTAGTTACATTTTCGATATTTAGAAACAAATGCCAAAATCCGTGAAAGTGGTGTAAAGAAACAACTACCTACCTAAATTCATCCTGTGAAAACCCCGAATCAAGTATTATCTTCAAAAAAAAGTAACAAAACGAAAAAGTGGCCGTACCTACCCACCTTTATACCTAGCTATGTTTAAATTGGTTCGAAAAGGGGTTTAAAACCATTCGACTAAGCATAATGAAACGCTGGATGTAATTCATTTCGTTAATGTCGACTGACCCCAGTATAATGCGTCAGGGTTAGATAGAGGGGAAAAATAATACAACTTGCAATTTAAATCTGTCTAAATGTAGCGCCATCTATGGAGCTACGAAGCTACTAACTAAAACAATTTAGTTTGTTCGGTCACCTAACTCGTAATTAACTGAACAAGTTAACTACAATATCCATAATACGACAACAAATTCGACTGTATGATACGTTTTCTGGTAAAAATGTTCAAAAAATAAAGTGACATCTATAATGTTGTCTCGTTAAAATGTTATCGCGAACGCGAACGCTAGCTAACATTACGTCACTGGGCGAGCTCGCTGCGTGCTCCGCTTGCTTCGTTCCGTTCCATTCCATTCGCCACGGAGCCGCGCGCGACTTCCGAGATCGATGTAGTAGAAGGAAACATTTTTGTGAAGCGTCGAATGGACCAAACCCTACAGCGTCAACTGCGCCGATGTTTTTATTAATTTGGTCTAACGCGGATATTTAAATAAATTCAGTGATCAAATAATTATTAAAACGTGAACAGTGTTAACGTTGTGAGTGAATAATTTCAAGGTACGTTATTTACATTACTCACTTCATATTTTGTTGTGCTGCAAACGGGGTGTTCACTTGCCGATGATTTCCAATATCTAGATTGCGCGATATAATAGTATTGTGAGTTCTGATGTAATCCTTTGTTGAATATTAAAATGTCATGAAAAAGTGTGAATTTCAGTAGATTTGTCTTTTCATATCTCGAGTTTTGTGCGGATAATTCGGTCACAATGACGTCACGACTACTGATTTATAAACATAAAACGACTTTCGGTTCCATCCAGCAGTCGGGAATACAAGGTCATTACTCAGCACGTACCTACAAGTAGTAAACATGCATTGGCAATCGTTTTTAGCTCTATTTTTAATGACACCATCAGTGGTAATCCATTCATTGAGGGCCCGCCCTGTGCCGCTTCGAGGCCATCATTCTCTCTGACTACGTTATAACTTCTATTAATATTTTTCTATCTATTGCTATATTTTATAATAATTTTGTATATAGGTCTTCAATTAATTAATATTTATTTGCTTCTTAAGTTGGGGCCCCCAGACTATATTGTAAACAAATGAAAACGATTTACCTATGCAAAGAACTATTAAGCTACAAATAATGGAATAAAAGTTGGTAACCTAATTTAATATGGGGTAGCAGATCTATAACACTTAACCACTGTAATCCCAACCTAGATATTCCGGAAAGTTGGTTGCATGTCTACATGTAGGGCTGCATTACTTGTGACCTACATCATGCCTCATACACTATAATGTTAAATTGAAAAGATGTTTGCCTGTTGCATTAAAAACTTTCTTGTGCACATTCTAGATCTCTACAACTCTATCTAATGTAATTTAGCACCAAGGCGTGCTTATTTCAATGACACCATCTCAAGTGATAGTTGTTTATAAAGTACCTAAATAAATTATAATTATTTGTATTTTGAAATTACTTATTACTATCATTATTAAAAAAATTAATAAGCTGTAATAATTCATCCAAAAACTCTTTTTAGTCTATTAACTGAATCAATAAAGTAAACAAAACAATATAGGTAATGTGAGTCATGTAAATATTACTGACTGTACTTCATTAAGTAAAATTTTAATAACTCAAAACTTATGTTAATTTATATATAAATCTATGTGTATATTATATAATATTTCACATTTATTTGCCAATTGTGTTAACCAAGTCAGTTTTGTACATGACCTTGTGCTATGTCAATTAAGCAGAGCGATATTTCTCTATTTTTACCATCTGTTGATTCATATGTTGTTAAGGAATTTGATGATGTCAGATTTTTGTATCATTCTTATGATGATCTCCTACAAAAATGTTGGTGGGTGTACCATTTTACGAATTCCTATTTGACAATTTTTGTCTTGTTTTACTGTAAAATAAATATATTCAAAAGTATTAGTAATAATTCTTTAAGAACAGGTTCAAGGCCTGCAGTTAAAACCTTATCAAGAATTGAAAGTAAATGATGTCATATCATTGTGGTGGGAGATAGTTTATTTGGGTGTGACTGTGGTTTTATAATGT